TTTGCGGATAGCGTGGATTGGTTTTGATTGTGGTGGTTATCTATCTGTTTGATTTATTTCCTTTAAAAAGAAAATTCCAAAAAAGATTAGTTAGGATTTGAATTGATTTTATTAGAAGATAATGACGCATGTTTAGGATAGGTTTAGAATAACTTTCTTTGAATAAGTCGATAGGATAACTTTTTAATTTAAATTAGGAATTAGAGTAATTTATTTCTTAGTTTAATTTAGATATTATCCTGATCTCGACGGTTCATTTTAGGGTAATTCTTGATTTCGAATTTTCATAAAAATACCAAAAGATTAAATTATTTTAGAATAGATTGCATGTTAATTTAGGCATTTTTTTTAATTCCGAATTTCATTCAAAAATAAATCATTTGTCCGTCATTAATTAGGTCGCGTCGTCGCATGATATATAGTTTGCATATTAGGCTGCATTAATCGCATGTTAATTTTTGCACGTCATTACATATAGGTTAGTTTTCATTTAAATAAGTGAAAATCCTAAAAAATATTGAGTGAACTGCTTGTTAATTAGAAATCATATTAGGATTGTTGATGTGATTTTCTAGCTAATAATGCAGATGCTTACGTTGCTCCGAGGTAAGTAATTCTCCCAATCTTACAATTTATTTAATGTTTTGATTATTGGGTGTTACTTTGGTGATTTGCGCACCCGCATGATCACCTCACATGCTAGTGACTAAGTTAAAATGGATCCAGACTGCATGCATAAACATTTTTTGAAAAGAAAAGGTACCGAAAGGGCGTTAGACTAGATCTAGCGTAATCAAGTCCCCGAGCTTAGAATCTTTGGTTCGTAGGAATAAAACATATCTCCCTATGTTTTATTTAGGTTTCTAATCGACCTATCACAAATAGATTAGTGGCGAATCCAAGCATGAAAACTTTTGCATGTTACAAACTTAAACCCTAAGTTGCGAATTGGTAGGGCTTGGGAGGGCTCGAGTTAAGCTTAGTCTTAATAATCCATTAGCCTGAGAAAATTTAGGTCGCGACAGAAGGTAAAATATTTTTGCAATCTCTGCAAAAGGGCTCAGGCCGGCCTCCGGGGAATGGGTGTGCCTACACTTCCAAGGGAGGCGAGCCGCCGTGCATTAGCCACAAGAAATTCGCGGGCCGCGCGGCGGCTCTACCAAATGCATACCCGGCTCCAGTGTTCCGCTTTGGTGTAGCTTCCGACACTAGAAGATTAATTGAAGGTCAAGAATCATAAGAATATACGATATCTTTTTTCTTCTCGCTGGATAATAAGTTGATGCATCTAAATTATTTATTTGTATTTATATACGCAATAGATTATTTTTTTTTTCATTAGTTGTTTGTGGATGGATAATTTATACTCACCAGATAGGTGTTGTATGATACATGATGAAATAACAAAGTTGTAATCTTTTGTTATTCGGCTGAAATACTATTGCCTCTACATATATCGCTTCATCAATATGTGAGATGAAGGGTCCTTTTACGATCTTTTGTAGATATGGGTTCGAGAGTTAACATGACGTTACCCAGAATAATTGTTCAAAAAGTTATAAATCTATTATACGGCTGTCAATTTAGTCCTAAAATTTTAATTGTGCCAAATTTAGTCCTAAACCTTTTGATGATTTGCCAATTTAATCCTAAACTTTTAATTGTGTCCATTTAGTCATGAACTTTTTGAAAATTTGCCAATTTAGTCATAAACCTTTTGAAAACTTGCCAATTTAGTTCTTCCGGCCAATATTTTGGCTGAAATCACTAATGTGGATGCCGACCGCCAATCATCCTACATGCGTGTTCAGCATGACATGGAAAAGTTTTTCATTTTATTTAAATTTTCCTTTCGCTTGTGGCCAACACTCGGCCATGGCCAACAACCGGCCACAAGCAAGGGCCAGCAAGGGCACGCTGGCAAGGGCTCAATCCTTGGGGCTTGGGTGTGGGCTGCCATCGCTAGATTTGATGAGGCAGCCCCTGGCAACGGCTTGACCGTCGCGGCCTAGGTGAGGGTCGCGCCCTTGCCAGATCCAGTGAGAGTGACCATTGCCAGTGGCCAATCACTAGCCATAGTTGAGTACTGCCATGAAGGAAAGGAAAGAAATGGAAAAAAATAAAATTTTAAAAAAAATGAAAATGTTGTCCATGTTAGCGAAAATTTTAAAAAAATGCAAAAATTTTCCACTTTAACGCCGGCTAACGACAATGCCACGCCACATAGGATTGTCGTTGGCCGATTGATGTCCACTTCAGCGATTTCTGACCAAAATTAGCTGAAAAGAAAATGTAGGCAAATCATCAAAAGGTTTAAGAAAAAATTGGCAATTCTTCAAAAGGTATAGGCAGGACTAAATTGACACAATTGAAAGGTCTAGGACTTAATTGGCAAATTGTCAAAAGTTTTAGGACTAAATTAACATAATTGAAAAGTTTATGACTAAATTGGCCGTCGTACAATAGATTTAGGAATTTTTGGACAATTTTCCCTTTCCCACATTGTTGCCATGACTAAAATTTTATGCTTCGGCAACTATATATCCTCTTGTTAGGGCATGCACAAATAAATCCATTTGACAATATATATATATATATATATATATATATATATATATATATATATATATATATATGTAACGAGCCAACTTGTTCCACATGGGTGAACCCTTAAAAGGAGCATCCACAGTAATCACACAATATGGTAACCAATTGAGGGTGAATCTTGCTTATGAATAACATCACAAAATCTTAACTAATCGATGTGAGAATCGAGGTGTTATAAGCTCCCTCATTTAAACCACCCACATCCTTGTTAGCACTGGTTGTACTACCTATTGATCCTACCCAACAACACTCCCGCTTCTTGGTATGTGTCCTATTTCATTTTTACCCCATTCGCCATCCTTGAAGTTTGTTAAGAGCCACAACTTATGCGAGCATCGTTGCTCACGCGATCACCCCCACCCATTTTGGATCAGGTTGGGGCCTAGTTTGTCAACGAACGACGCATCTACCAGAGAGGGTTTGCTCTAATATCATCTGTGATAACTTTATCCATTCCATGTGGCCCATAAAAGGAGAAGATTAAGAGAATATTTTCCAGGATGATATTCATTGCTGTATATCAGTGATATTTATAATACATGTACAAGGATGGCAACAACTAAAAATATGGAGAAAATCTCAATTAATTGACAGTTATCTACAACAATGAGAAGACTGAAATTATGGAGGATAATTTGAAATTTGAATTTTAAACTATTCTCTTATACGTCCCCTCAACATGGAGTTTCCGTCGGAAACGCCGATCTTGACTCGAAGTGTTTGCACGCGCTGTTTTGATAGTGGCTTGGTAAGGATGTCTGCTAGTTAGTCATGTGTGGAAATGTGAGAGACTCTCAATTGTCCGTCTTTTACGAGATCACGAACGAAGTGGTAATCAATTGCAATGTGTTTCATGCGAGAGTGGAAGACCGGATTGGCACACACATAAGTAGCCCCAATATTGTCACAGTATATCGTGGGTGTTTCAAGTGAGTGTATGCCCAATTCGGTGAGCAAGTTTTGAACCCAAAGTAATTTTGATGAGGTAGCGACAATTGCTCTATATCCGACTTCTGTTAATGATCGGGCAATGGACCGTTGTCGTAAAGTTCCTCGAAAGTGATTGTGTGTTCATGAGCACGAATCGCTGCTGCGATTTCACGGTATTCCGGTCCTAATCCCCGAAGAGCGTGGATGACAAGGTCATCGTCATGGAGAGGTGAATCAATCATTGTCAACTCATTTGCAATAGATTTTAGTTGTTGTAAAAAATCAGAAATAGAACGAGAGTTGCGTTTAATCGTTGATAATTGGTCCTTGAGATGCATGACATGGGTTCGAGATTTGCTTGCGTAAAGTGTTGCAAGTTTGTTCCATGCACTTTGAGATGTTGCACAAGAGGCAATAAGGGGAAATGATGGCTTCGGAAGTGGAAGCAAAAATCCCATTGAGCAAGAGTTGATCTTGTCTAATCCAATGAAAATAGGCGGCATTCGAGACTGTTTGATTGGCGCGGGTGATCTCTTCCGGTGGGCAAGGACACGTTCCGTCGATAAATCCTTTAAGGTCATATTCGACTAGCAAGGACATGAATTGAGCCTGCCAAGAAGCATAGTTGGTGGAAGTCAGCTTCATGGGAAGCTGCGCATCAGCAGAGATTGCAATAAGTCCGGTTGAAGTGGCTTCAGGAATTTCGAGAATGATTGTTTCAGAAGTAGAGTTTGTGGCAGCCATGGCTAGGAGTAGACATGGGATGAGAGAGGCTCTTAGGAGTAGATACACTCTGATGCCATAAAAGGAGAAGATTAAGAGAATATTTTCCAAGATGATATTCATTGCTGTATATCAGTGATATTTATAGTACATGTACAAGGATGGCAACAACTAAAAATATGGAGAAAATCTCAACTAATTGACAACTATCTACAATAATGAGAAGAATGAAATTATGGAGGATAATTTGAAATTTAAATTTTAAACTGATTCTCTTATAGGCCAAACCCCTAAAAGAAACTCAAAGCAACCACACGATGTAGTGACAATTTGAGAATATATCTTACGTATAAAGAACACCATAAGGGCTCACTCGATTGACGTAACACGTTGGGTGTTACAATGTATGACCCCTTTGAATAGTAAAATAGAAGGCTCTTTTGTTGGAAAAATTGGAGGTCGATCCTGTTGAGAAGTATGAAGAACTGTTAATAGGACAACAAAAATCATCAACTTTTGAGGCGAGTAAACACTGTCCGCAAGGTAAGTCCCCCCTAACCAATCTACTACGAAAATGGCAGGGCGGATTAACCAAGAACACCTTGCTCGAAACTCTCTCGACTATGTAGAGTCTCCTCTACCTCCATGGTAGTTCCTTTCGCATAAACCCTAACTTTTCCCAGTTGTTCCCCTCTTCCCATCTTACAGTTTGCTTTGGACTTTTCTCAGCCCACAGAAGATGAAGCAAGCACGATTTTCAACATTTCCATCCCAAATAGATCACCATTTCCACAAAAAACTATCCATTATCCATTGCAATCTCGACCTTTTCCCCAGAATATTTTAGTCTAGAATTACTCACCACCTAGAGTTTCGTTTTCTGTTTGTCATTTGGCATTAAACCCTAAATTTGCTGTCACCTTTTCATAAACCCTACCCATGAAATCTGATTTCCCTTCAATGCTCCATCGGGTCTAGAGGCCTCTTTCCCACTCTCCTTAATCTGATTTTTACATGCAGTAGTACGCAATTTCTTCCCCTAGGGTTCTTGTTACTGAAGCATCTCTCTTCTAGTCACCATGGAAGAAACTGAGGAAGGAAATGCTCGCTTGGCCTCGCTCTGCAAAAGGTTAGGTAGACTATGGTCAGAAGAGACGATTGAAGAATGGGAGGATGCAGTACCGAAGGAAAACCTTGAGGAATGCCATCTAATTTTAGTGGGTAAGTTCATGTCCAACCCTTCCATCAATTTTCAAGCCTTTCAGAATACGATGAAAAGGGCTTGGAAAGTTGAAAATGTTGATATCACACAACGTGAGTCTAGCTTGTATGTGTTTAAATTTAGAAAGGAAGGGGAGAAAAATAAGGTTTTGGAGAATAGCCCTTGGCTCTTTTCAAATCATCTGGTGATTCTGAAACCTTGGATTCCCAATACCCCCATTTAATGTTATGATTTCACAACTTGTGCATTTTGGGTCCATATGTATGGTTTGCCCTTGGAAAGAGATACTGAGAAGGCTATTTGTAGAGATGTTCGAGAGTTGGGGAAAGTTACAGAAGCTAGAGTGAAAACTAAAGATGGTGTCTCTCTAAAAGCAGGGAAAGCAAGAGTAGAACTTAACCTACAGGAACCACTCAAATCTGCAAGCTAATCAAGTTGGAAGGGAAGAACATGTGGTTGGATTTTCGGTATGAACGACTATCACATTTCTGTTACTCATGTGGGAAATTGGGACACTATGCAATGTATTGCAAAGAGATACCTTTTGATGAGGAGAAACTGGAAAGAAAAGAGGAGATGTGCTTTGGTCAATGGCTGCGAACTGAAGTTCGGGAACATAGCCCGTTTTGGAAGGCCTTTTATGGGAAACAAGAGAAAGTTGATGACGAGGATGAACTTATCCCCGAGACACCAGAGATCTCAACTTAGTTGGTTCCTTTTGAGCCAACTTGCAATAACAAAGACAAAGAAATTGTGGAGGCGACGGAAGCAGAGATGGTAGATGTTGCATAAGGTGTCTTGTGTAACCGTCACCAAGATAGAGAGACGACAGGATACGGGGGTACTATACCCTCGTCACCAGTATTGGTCCAGAACCAAAGCAGCTAGGAAAAGAAAGAGGGTTCGGCAAATGTTAAAAAACCGAAGCTTACAGGTATGAATTCAATGGCATCATCTAGCAAAAAGATTAAACACTATAATCCCTATGGACTAAGAGGAAGTTTGCAGGGAGGAATTGATGAGACTCAAATGATAGACACCCCGATTTTTGAGGTGGAGGGGCAGGAAGATGGGCTTTGGTGGCTAGCCCTAATAAGCCACCAAGTGACAAATGATGCTCATTAGTTGGAATTGTCAAGGTCTGGGCAATCCCTTGACTGTCCAAGTACTAAGAGCCCTTGTGGTTCAAGAAAAGCCCAACGTAGTGTTCTTAAGGGAAACAAAGAACCAGGAGATGGTGATTCAAAGAATAAAGAAGGGGTTGAAGTTCCCCTATTGTTGTGTAGTGGATCCCATAGGCTTAGCAGCTAGTGGTGTTATGGAATGATAGGGTATCTTTGAATATTGAACATATGGCTGAGGAGTTTATAGATATGATTTACAAGGAGATGGATAGTGGCAAAAAGATGCGCATCACGTGCCTTCATGCGTCAACTATGTACCAAAAAAGATTACAACTATGGGAGGAACTAAGACAATTAGCTCCTCAAATTCTCTTCCGTGGGTATGTATTGGGGATTTCAACGAAGTACTTCATCATTGGGAGAAAGTAGGTAAGAGGATAGTTGAAAATTATAGAATGAATGCTTTTCGAGAGCTTCTGAATGACTGTTCCTTAATGGACTTGGACAGTAAGGGTTGCGCATTCACTTGGGCAAACAATAGGGAAGGCGATGATTTTGTGAAGGAAAGGCTATATAGGGTGGTTTGTACAATGGAATGGCAATTACTATTCCCAGAAGCTGAAGTTTTTGCACTACTTGCTATTGGATCAAACCATAGTCCAATTCTATTATCTTTGGAGGCAAATCGAGTCAAACAAAAAAAGGAATGTAAGTTTGAAGCATTCTGGCCGGAAGATGTGGAGTGTAGAGACGTGATTACTCATTCTTGGGAGTCCCCTCTTTTAAAAGAGACAGATCTTTTCAGGAAATTACGTGCAGTGACTCTTGCACTTGCCAAATGGAGCAGGAAGAGGTTCTCCAATGGGCATCAAAAGATCAATTATTTGAAACAAGAACTTCAACAGCTTATAAACAGTAACAGTGACTTCTATGATAGGGAGCGAGTATGTCTTTTACAATGGGAGATTGGAAAATTGTGGCAGCAAGAGGAAATGTACTGGAGAATGAGATCCAGAATTAACTGGCTTCAATGGGGTGATAAAAATACTAAATTCTTCCATGCGACCACTATCCAACGAAGGCTGAGAAACAGAATCAAAATGTTGCAGAACTCAGATGGTGATTGGATTAGGGACCAGGACCAACTAAAGAATATAACCATAGATTATTTTGAAATTTTGTATCAATCAGTTGGGTTTCGAGACTTCCAGCTCGTGTTGGATCAGTGCCCCCAGGTGGTGTCGAAGGAAATAAATGACCAGTTAGTAGCTGAGGTTACTTTAGAGGAAGTAAAGGGAGTAGTTTTCCAATTAGGGGCCTCAAAAGCACCCGAGCCGGATGGTCTTAATGGGCTGTTTATTCAACACCATTGGGAAATTTTGAAGTGCGATATTTTCAAAGCAGTGATAGATTTTTTTGTATTCGGGGTGATGCAACCATACTTTAACAAAACCATTATTTCCTTCATACCCAAAATCCCTAATCCAGAAAGACTAGAACAGTTTCGCCCTATTAGCCTGTGCAACTTTGTATACAAAATCATCGGCAAAAGTACACTAGAAGTGCCATAATGTGTACGGCGATCACTTTGATGCCATAACTTTTTTTCGGATCACTTTGGTGCCAAATCGGAGGAAAAGAGATCACTTTAGTGCCAATTTGGCCGGAAATCCGACGTAGCATTTTTTATTAATTTTTGACGCCTACGTGGCTCGTCGGAGGATGAGTCAGCGTGTACAGTCTGTATTTTTTATTTTAAATATTTTTTTCCAGCGTGTACAGTCAGCATTTTTAATTTTAAATAATTTTTTTCCTTTTTTTTTCCTCTTCTTTCCTTTTTGTTTTGTTTTCTTTTTTTTCTTTTCTCCCCTCGCCGGCCGGTTGCCGGTGGCCGACCGGCCACCGGCGAAGCCCGAGAAGGCCTCGCCAGATCTAGGCGAGGCGACCCTCGCCGGCGACAGGCAAGGCCACCCCTTGTCGGCCCAAGCGAGGCCGTCCCTCGCCGAATCTGGCGAGGGTCGCCCTCGCCGGATCTGGCGAGGGCGACCCTCGCCGGCGTTGGGCGAGGGAAACCCTTGCCTGGGCGGGCGAGGGTCGCCCTCGTCGGCGTCGGGCGAGGGTCGCCCTCGCCGGCGTCGGGCGAGGGTTGCCCATGCCCGACCCAGGCGAGGGCGACCCTCGCCCGCTTAGGCGAGGGCTTCCCTTGCCCGATGCCGGCGAGGGTCGCCCACGCCCGACCCGGCGAGGGCCACCCTCGCCCGCCCAAGCGAAGGTTTCCCTCGCCCGACGCCGGCGAGGTCGCCTCGCTAGATCGGCGAGGGCGACCCTTGCCGGCGTCGGGCGACCCTCACCGGCGTCGGGCGACCACACGCGGCGTCGGGCGAGGGTCGCCCACACCCGACACGAGCGAGGGCGACCCTCGCCGGCGTCGGGCGAGGGAAACCCTCGCCTAGGCGGGTGAGGGTTGCCGTCGCCCGAGTCGGGCGTGGGCGACCCTCGCCCGACGCCGGCGAGGGTTGCCCTCTCCCGACGCCGGCTAAGGTCTCCCTCGCCCGACACTGGCGAGGGTCGCCTTCGCCAGATCCGGCGAGGGCAGCCCTCACCTGGCCCAGCGAGGGGCGGCCTCGCCTGTCGCCGGCGAGGGTCGCCTCGCCCAGATCTAGCGAGGCCGCCCCTCGGCGGCCATGGGCAAGGCCGCCCTCACCCAGCCCTTCCCGGTCTTCGCCGGTGGCCGACCGGCCACCGGCAACCGACCGGCGAGGGGAGAAAAGAAAAAAAAGAAAAAAAAAGAAAAAGGAAAGAAGAGGAAAAAAATTATTTAAAATTAAAAATGCTGATTGTACACTCTGGAAAAAATTATTTAAAATAAAAAATGCTGATTGTACACGCTAACTCATCCTCCAGCGAGCCACGTAGGCGTAAAAAATTAATAAAAAATGCCACGTCGGATTTCCGGCCAAATTGGCACTAAAGTAATCTCTTTTTCTCTGACTTGGCACCAAAGTGATCCGAAAAATAGTTATGGCACCAAAGTGATCGCCGTACACAAGTTATGGCACTTCTGGTGTACTTTTGCCCAAAATCATCGCTAAGGTGATAGCTAACCGATTGAAGCCTTGGTTACCCAAACTAATTGCAACGGAGCAAAGAGCATTCGTGAGTGGGAGACAAATCCAAGACAACATCCTGGTTGTGCAAGAGGTACTCCATCAATTTAGAGTCAGAAGGCGAAAGAAGAAATTTTAGGCCATATTGAAGTTGGATATGCAAAAAGCCTATGATCGAATAGAGTGGGATTTTTTGGAGGCATGCCTAATGAAAATGGAATTCCACCATAAGTGGGTACAATGGGTGATGCAATGTGTATCTACTGTTTCCTTTAGTATGAAATTTAACAGACAACCTTCTTAGTACTTTCAACCGTCAAGGGGTATTAGACAAGGAGACCCACTATCCCCTTATCTCTTCATCTTGGTGGCAAATGTTCTATCCGTGCTTATCAAGAAAGCCGTGGAGATTGGCAACATCAAAGGCATCAAGCTAAACAGGTGGTGTCCCACTCTTTCCCACTTATTCTATGCAGATGATTCTATTTTCTTTTTAGACGGGAAGTTACAGGAATGCCAGAATCTGGCTAACGTTCTAAACTAGTATTGTCTAGCTTCAGGACAAACGATTAATCTCAACAAGTCTGGCATATTTTTCAGTAGAGATTGCCCTCAAAGTCTAAAAGTAAATCTGGCTAGAGAGCTGAGAGTTCCTGTGATTGATAAAACAGGTACATATTTAGGAATTCCGTCGGATTGGGGATGTTCTAAAAAAGAAATGTTTGCATGGATCTTGGGGAGAGTGAATACTAAACTGGAAGGATGGAAGGAGAATTTAATGTCCAAAGCAGGAAAAGAAATTCTTATTAAAATTGTGGTTCAGGCTCTTCCACAGCATGCAATGTTTATTTTTAAAGTCCCAGTGTCCATTTGTAAGACAATTGAGCAGAGAATTGCTGCCTTTTGGTGGAAGAACACTGTAGCTAAACTGGGCATGCATTGGAAAAGATGGGAAATTCTCAAAATTAGGAAAGACATGGGAGGGCTAGGCTTTAGAGACTTAATTGTCTTAAACAAAGCAATGCTAGGTAAACATGCCTGGAGACTCTCTCAGAACTTGTCATCTCTTTGGAGCCAGATACTAAAAGGAATCTACTTTCCACATAGAGACTTTTGGCATGCGAAAAAAGGCACACGTTCTTCGTGGGGGTGGCAAAGCTTACTACTGGGAAGAGACTCAATTGCTCATCAGGTGCAGTGGTCAGTGGGGGATGGAAAGAAAATAAGAGTTAGAGAAGACAAATGGTTGAGAAGGGGAGTAATTGGAGGACCTGCACCCAGAGGTGAACCTTCCTTGGTGGCTGATTTCATTAATTCAGAGGAGAATACATGGAATACCCAGCGTCTTAAGGATAGCTTTGATGCTCAAACAGTCAATGAAATTCTATCGATCCCAGTTAGACCTCAAATAGCAACTGACCAGCTAATATAGACAGGGACTCAATCAGGCGAGTATTAAGTAAAAAATGGATACAACAGCATAAAAGCAGTCGAGCACAACAAAAGCCATGATTCAGCATCATCTTCCTATCAAGTGCCTCGTAGCCTTTGGAGAAGGATTTGGAATTTGAAAATTACTCCTAAAGTAAGAATTTTTATGTGGTCTCTATGCCAAAATGCTTTACCCACAAAGGAAAATCTCCATCGAAGAAAAATTGTACCAGATCCGCTTTGTACACTGTGCAATGAAGAAGTCCTAGAGACAATCGAACAACTTTTCCTATTATGCCCATGGGCAAACAGAGTTTGGTCACACCCACAACTTGGCATACATATTCCATCACAAGGTTTATCAAGAATCGAAGCTTGGTTAGCAGATCGGACAGCAAATCGGGACAACTCACCTGATCTGGAAGTCGTAGCCTCGGTCCTTTGGCAGATATGGAAGGTGCGGAACCATTTCGTATTTAGAAAACAATGCCCAGATCCGGCTTTTACTGTGGAAACCGCTCTCGCAAGTTCGAGAATCATTAGCACTTGGGGCCTGCACAATGCGAAAACCCTCCAAAACCCGACCAGCTCATCCCAGATTTGGTGTCCACCGACGCTCGGGAATCTTAAAATAAATATTAATGGAGCCTACACACCGGGAAGGGAAGAAGGAGTAGTAGCTTGCGTGTGTCGTGATCACCAGGGAAGGCTTGTTGATGGATTCTCTTCTTTTGTCCGTGCGACTTCCTCCCTACAAGTGGAAACACATGCTTTGTTACAAACCCTAAAATTTCTGCTCCAGCGTGAGAGAGAAAAGGAGAATCTAGTGTTGGAGTCAGATAATCTTATTTTGGTCAATGCCTTGCATAGTCCCAATCAGACACCTTGGGAGGTCAGAGCTCTCTTGTCCGAATGTGTTGCTTTGTTAGAGTGTTTTCCTCATATTCGGATCCAACACTGTAGAAGGGAGGCAAATTTTATTGCGGACTGGACCGCTAAAGCCCACGGACGCAATTCCCTACCTTCAAATTGGGTTGTTTCGCCTCCTCAAACTCTTTTAGACCTTTTGTGTACTGAAGCCCATTTAATGGGTCTTTTTGGTTCTCCTACTTAATTGAAATGCAGCTTTATTTCGACCCAAAAAAAAAAAAAAAACACTGTCCGCAAGAATGAATTTCACCCTTCACAGAATGCAAAAGTGTGGTCTGACTTTTTTTCAAGAGTTAACAGACCTTTTAAACATTGTGAACTTCACTACTTAGGAGAAGGAACACCAGAAAAAACCAAAACAGAGAGAGAGAGAGAAAAAAAAGAGTATTTTGCATGCACTTTTCAGCTAAATGAAGCAATGACCGGTATTTATAGGCAAAAGCTCGGCGTGGAATCTAAGAAATCGATGAATGGACAGCATATTATTAGTGCTTGAAAGTCAGTAACAGGTAACACGATCCTATCAAATGGCTAGGGTGGAATCAAGTAATGGTCAAGTATAGGAACAATCAAAATATAAAGAGGCACAAATCGAGGGTCACGGGTAACATAATTAAATATCCTCATAAACTAGGCTTGTTAGATTAAGGCCTTGAGATAAAAATTAAATAGATAAGATGATAATTTAATTTGTTGAATAGAAACCACGGACCGAGCGTCGCGTTTATTTTGCATGTAAGGAGGCCAAAATCCAATTACACTTCAATTGACCCGATCTAATATGCACAAACCCCTCATCGCCAAGTCCATATAAAACAACATATAAAGGATGTAACTATCTTTTTAAATGAAATATGCAATGCAGCGCAAATATCTCCTATCAACATAAGTATAGAGTGAGTAAGAGACAAAAGAGATTGGAAAGTAGGTTTATCGTGGTTTGACCTTTGCACTTGGCCTCCCCCACTCTTTCGGTTCTAACAGCTCAAGAGCAAGGCTGGTATCCACTAGTTACAATTATTGGAGCCTTTCAACGAAGTTTAGATGAAGTTGCCTTTCCACCAAGAATAACAACAGATTATACAAGTATGACCGCTTTACTTCTACGCTCAAGCACTCTCACGGTGATTACAACACTCAATGAGAGTTGCAATAGAAAACCACATGACTCTTTTCACTAAGAATAAGCGAGGGAAATAAATGTAAACTTGAGAGCATTTCAATCACCTCAGCCAGCCCACAACAACCATAATATGATTTGCACATTGGAGTGTCGAACTGGATCAAAATAGTCGTTGCAAGATCTCTTTTTATCTCAGAACGTTAACATGTAGCTAATTAATGGACATTAATGGAAATTGATGAAATTGCCTCTGCAACTTTGCCTAACACTTCGTCTACTTAGCCAAAAATGGCAAACCAAGTCTGATTTACAACATTTCTGAGTGGATTTGAAGCCATGGAGTTGGCTTCAAAGCACCAGATTTGAATTTGGATCAAATTGATAAAGCGCCGGGTCTTCTTTCCCAAGTTTGTGGATGATTGTCCACTGTGTCGGTAGTGTAAACTTAAGATTCTTCAACAACGTGGTCTCCTCCTTGACCAAACAAAAAAAAAAAACAACGTGGTCTCCTCAGACTTGGTCATTTTCCCAAATGACAAACTGTTCACCTGCTGCGTTTAGATCATTCCTAGTATATTGATGTGCTCAGTCCAAGAAAAAGATCTGGTAGAAGAAAATAATCATCACTAAGTTCCCAGTAGATCACTTACTTCTTTAACCGTGTACGGGTGTTTGAGCTTTGATTTTTTGCAGGGAATGCGCTTTTGATTCTGAACTTAGTGCAGGAAAAGACTCTCCTTTTTTTATTCAATGAATATTTTTTTTTTCTGTACATTGACAATGCTTAATCCTGTTATATATATAGGACATATGACAACCCTAATTAAGAGATATACAATAGGAATAGGAAGGATTCTATACTAGGAAGAAATCTATATAATAAAAATGCCTAACAAATAGGCTAAAATAGCTCATGACCACACTTAGAACCTAGCCTACATTTCTTCCCTCATGAAAAACCTTTTCGATTAAAGGACTCTGCATAGTCAAGCAGATTCTTTGAATCCAGGACGAAAATAAAGAATGAGGACGACAAAGTAGCCTCGATGACTTATGGCTTTGACCCCGTGTGCGTGAATTCCGAGCCTCGTGATCCTTCTCCCCTTTCTTTTCTACAACCATAAGCTTAGCCTACGTTAAGTCCCTTGAAAAAAAGTTCATTCGAACCAAGAACTATCAATTAATTCAGGGCATAACAATAAGAGATCTAGAACTTGAAAAGTGATCTATGATTTGAACCCGCTTGCGTGAATTTTTTGTGCTGGTTTTAATCTTTCGAGGACGATCCCACTTAAGAATAAAGGACTTCTACTTAGGACATAAATAAGCCCGGTGCAATGGCTTTGAAAAGGGAACTTCGGGTTCAGATTCAATTTGGCTCGAAAAAAACTGGCTTAAAGGCTAGGGATTACCGATTCCTTCTTCTTCTTCAGTTGTCGATTGGATTTGTTGTTTTGATAAAATCCGTCTGGATGAAAGATTGATGCTCCATTAACTGCTTGAGCTTCTCGGAGATCATTGCACCTTTCCGATCTGAAAGGTCTTTTCATGAACCGTATTGTAAGCTTGGTTTTTAGTTTAAGAAACGAAAGGAGGATAAAAAATGGCTCAAGACACAAGCACACAATTATCTAAAGGGTGATTACAAGTCAAGGACCGCGGGGATTAAGTGTGACCATTCAGTTATCAACTTGCCCTAGATTAGAATGGAGCTTCTTGTCCAGGATGTAATGTTGGGTATCCAGCAACTAGAACTATCAACTTGATTATTGCTTGTCTTTGACGACCCCGATGTGAGACAGGTAATCTCTAGTGGGTTATATAGAAACGAAATCCACGCGGCTCAACGGGGATATTTAAAGGTTATCTATGGTGTATGGGGTACAGAAGAGAAATGCCTTTTCTTATCCCTGTGCCACCATCCAAGGTTTTGCACCAAAAACTTTGTTACTTATTTTCGCGAAGTTTGACATAAAAACTTATAGTTTTTGGAAGAGATTTTTGAATAATGAGCTCTTTGTTTTGAGAATCTCCCCCTATTTATTGGGAAAGAACAGATGCCAAATGCCCTTTTTATTCATCGACATTATGGTGCAATAATTTTACTGGAGAAAGACGAACAGCAAACCCTTCTTGTATACCTGTCATGAAACAATTTAACTTTAGTAAATCGTAGTGCTGAACCGAATTAAAGTACCTCCCGTTTTCAGAGGGGCGTCCGTTTGGGGGTTCGAGGGCCTGGCCCAAAATAAGCATTTTTGGTGATCTTGAGAGAAGATCATCATTGTATTCCTACTTTTTTCGAAATCTAGTGGATTCGCAGAGTGCTTCTGTGCGGAGATGTAACCTTGGTTTGGGTGATGGGTTTGCAAAGAAGGTGAGACCAAAGGAGTGCTTAATGAACCAAAAGAGATGCAATTGAGTGAGATAGCTTATCACTCGTGGACCTTATTTCGCGTATTGAACAATACGCTTGGGATTTACGGGCATCATTTTCGTAAAACTGATAACTCGTATCGTTTGATATAATTAGTCGATGAAAAATATTTTTATTATTGATAACAATTTATGCCTAAATATTTTAGTAGACGATGAAAATATTTTTTGTTCATTCATTTTTGTAAGCAATATAAGCATCATTTTTAGAAAAAAGAACTTCAAATCATTTATTTTTTGCAAAACAAATACACCATTAGTTGATGTCGGCAAGAGACATATGGGCCCTGCTCGGAAATGTCCAGTTAATCCACTACTAAGGCCCACAGACTTCAAGCCCTCCCAAATCTCTGGTTTTGTAATCCTCCAGCCCTTTGTAATATTTTGTGTTTAGAAGGCTCAACAACAGTGTTCCAAAAGTGTTGATTGATGCAGCGGACTGCTTTGTAATATAAGCAATGAACCGCACAAAAGCATACACATGGCTTTTAGGCTAAAATTAGATTGGAACCAAATGAAAGAGGCCAGTTTCACTCTATTTACCCAAATGGGTTAGAAAATGAGTCTATTTTAGAACTTTTAGTCCATTCAGGTGGACTTCATATTCTTAACCCATTTAAATCTATAATAAAAAATTCAGGAAATCCATTTATCACCCGGCTCATTGAAAATGAGTTAAAACGTGAGTTTCACAATCCATATTGCGAAAGTTGTCTACTGTCCCCGAGAGGTCATTCAAGCTACTGATTAGGTTGCTAAAGCCCACCGTGACAAGGCTATTCCCACCAATTGGTTGTCTTTACCCCCTCTACTTCTTTGGAATATTTTATATTCATAAACTCTTTTGTCCAACCCTAGTAGGGTTCTTTTTCCATGAACGAATGAAAGCATCTTTTCGACCAAAAAAAAAAAAATCCTCGTAATGCCACCTTTACTTATTTCCGGTGTTTGGAGGTCTTCCTCCCTCCATCGGGGTGTGGATTTTGTTGGAGTCTCTTGCAAAATTATAATTCAAAGAATTTGAAAAGTTAAGGGGATGAATACTCCGGTGCGTCATGCATGGGATACTATTTTTTTTAGCATGAAGTCTTAGGGTTAGGACTCGATTATAATTCGTACATGAAGTTAGGAGCTCTTGTGCAATTTTCTCTAGTTTCAACGAAGCTGACGTGTCATCCGATTAATTTACCTCTAAGTTGAGGGCTAGATTGAGATAATCCCAATCCTTTTTTGAGTATCAAAGGGATTGGAATTGTCAAATGGCCCTCAATGTAATGCCTAAAGTTTACTCATTTTGAGTTATCGTTTGCTGAGATTTCTCTTCAAGTTCTCTATCAAATTG